GAAAATTGCATCTTCCACTGTTTCTTTTATAGTTGTGATTGGTTACTTCAACACATCACATGTGTTTATTAGAGCAGGTCATCACAATAAAACATTTTCCTGTTGTACTGTCTGAGGCAATAGCAGCATTTTCCCACCTTTCTTCCATCCAAAGACCTCTTTATTAACATTTCTTTATTTTGTTCAACTACGCTATTATTAGTTGCTTTTTTAAAATTATTTTTACATTTTGTGTAACCTTCGCAGTAAGTACCATTTTATATTTTAAATTCTAGATGACCCAAGTAAAAGTAGGATTTCATTATGATAGGTATTGAAAGACAAAAAGAGTAGCAGTAATTCTGTCTCAGAAACCAAAGTAATAAAATGGCTTGTATATTATTATTATCACACCTAGTGCAAATACGGAGAAATAGCAACCCATTAGTATTTAAGAATCTTAATGACAATGAAAATATTGTCCAGGTTTTAAATTAATTTATTAAATTCTGACATTTGTTTCTTTCTGTCTGTTTAAGTTTTTCCTAGCTGTAACTTTCACAGGAGCCATGTAGTGCCCAGAAGTAATATTTGTTCAGTAAGAGTGAATGAACACACATCAAATCCTGCTGGCCCTGACAATAACCCTTAATGTGAAGCTCCAGTTAATATCTTCAGATGTACCTGCCATTCAGAATATGAGGATCCATGTAGTGAGATTGCCATAACTCACTGTTAGGCTTGAGTATGTCAGAATGGATCACAAGTCAATGATCTCCCTGGGCAGTATGTCATAGTCGGACTAATAAAAATCACTTTTGTCATGAGGCATTTGGGTTTGTCAGAAGGAAATATCTGTGAATGAGGCATTTCTGAAAAAAACTATTTTAAATACTCTGCTTCTAAATTTCCATTATCTATATTCACGAATTACCTTTTGAGTGTCTGTAGCAGAAAAATAAACTGACAATTGCTCAATTTTATGGGAAATTGCATACTCCTAAGTATTGCTGCAGAATCTGTTTTGATGAGAAAATTTATACAGACAGGTGTTTATTATTAAAATTGGGCCCTGCAACCACCACCTTCTGTTCTTCAGTTTAGTACAGTAATTTTAGATACATTTTTCCATGCTGTAACTCTTTGATAATTAATTCAAAACACAAAAATTCATGCATACATAGTTTAAGATCTTCATTCCCAATATATAAAGTTATTATGAACAATTATTCTTAGTTCCTCAAAAGAAAAAAACATGTTGGCTTTTCTATATTCAGTATCTCCACTTGGATGACAGTCACATAACCACATATAAAAGTTACACATATATCTGTGTGTAACTGTTGCCATCACTGATTAATTATTCAATTTTACTTCTTTTTCATATTTTTTATATTAGTTTTAGGTGGTACTTCAGTAAGCAGATGTTAACAGCTATTTACAAAGACAAAAATGAGAGAGATGCTTGCATTTTTAATAACAAGCATCATGGAGGAAAACATCAGCTGTGTGACAATGCTGCACAGCTGGTGTTTGGAAAGGAATAGAAACATAGCTTGAAGACACCTTTCTGCATCTAGTGATTTAGAAACCAAAGTGACTGCATGTGTAGGGCAGCTTTAATATGCATTGTCTTGTATTTATGCCCCAAAAGGTTGTCATACAAGCCAGGATATCTAAAGCACAGTGTGCTTCAGCAACTTACCCTGATGGTCAGAAGTTGCTGTCTTACTTCATCTAACCAGCTGTTCAAAAACTAAAAAGTTTTCCAGATCAGGAGCTCTTCAGTTGTGCCCTAAGGACATCATTTGCATTTCCTGTAATTTGAAGACTATGCTAAACTAGGCCCAAGCAGGACTGAACTTCTATAATTTTGTAATAATTTGTTATTTTGAATCTGCACTAAATAAATGCCATAAAAATGTGGTTATATTTAGTTTTTAAAGCCATCACAGTACACTGTAGGAATACAGATCTTCGACCAAAGATTCTTCCTTTTTCTCCTTGTTATGTAAAACATTGATGAACACAAGGTCAGATATGGGGCAACTCAATGGTACATGAAAACCTGTTCTGGCAATACCTATGCTGCTGAAACATGGCATTCCTTTATAAATCTTTTTCAAAATGAAACATGAAGTTCAGCACTTCTGCCAGACTTGGCATTCAAGTTTGTAAGACTTAGGAATTAATTATATTTAGGTCACTGAACCAAACCTCTGGTTTAAGTCTTTAGCAGCTTTTCATGCTGTAATTATAAAATTATAAGAAATTGGTACTTTTGGTCTTTGCTGGAACATTATTTTTGCAAGATTCCAAAAATCTAGACAGAATTTTTGAGTGTTTGGTTAATAGGAGAGCAGAAAGCTATACTTCTTATACTTTAACTCATTGATTTTGTATTACAAATGTTAGAACAAAAATGTTGAAATTTATATGAAGTAATTGGATCCTAGCTCAACACACAATCATTTATATCAATTAATTAAAATATTTATTAGGTTTGAAACCAACTGTTTTTCAGTGAAACATATTTACTGGCAGCTATATATTGTGTATGTTCTAAAATAAAGGTGCTGTCATCAATGAACCATGTGATTTTCTTGCTGGATGATAGCATCAGAAGCTATAACACCATGTTCAATACACCTTTAGTGTAAAATGTAGGTTCATATTTTATCTTTTAATTTCTTTTATAAATTTTGTGCAAGTGTAGCCCTCAATGGGAAACAAAAAAGCTCAGTGTTCCACAAGATTAAATTTCTTACGAACTGTAAGTTAACTGGTTCAAAAAATCAATACCAATAAGCTGCCAAACCTGTCAGATCTTGTAATATCTGCTTTATAATAGAGCGCATTGGGACAATTTTGGTTTTTGGCTTGAAAACATAGGATGGCTTCTTAGCGTGGTGTATAGAAAACCACAATAGAAATGAGAAGACGTTTAGCAGTAGTATTCTTGTTGTTATTTCAATACAAATAGAAATAACTGCATGTACTGGTTTGGGGGATTTTTTGGCAGCGGGGGAAGGGCCTGAGGAGTGGCTCTGATAAACTGAGAAGCTCCCCCTGCTCCAAATCCAGCTAAGGAGCCATTAGAGGGACAATAGATGCACGTCAGCGATTAACATACGAAATAACTGAAATGAGACCTGAGCAGAGCAAGCAGTTAAGAAGAGCTGAGCTGGAGAGGTGAAAGACAGTGCTGGGGTGAAGATTTGGGTGGTTGGTGAGGAAGAAGGGGAAGAAGGTGCCCATGCACAAGTTTCCCTGCAAACAATGGTGAGATTGCAGGGTGTCCCCCTGCACTCATGGAGGAATGTGGTGGAACATTCCCTGAAGGTGAATTTGGCCAGCAGACTTCTATTTTGTGGCCAGTGGACTCAGATTTGCTGCCAGTGGACTCTGATCACGCAGCTCTGGAAGACCCCGGCGCCAGGGGAATTTGTTCCAGAAGGAGCCCGTGACTCTGTGAGAAGCCCAGGCTGGAGCAGCTCTGGACCTCGTGGGAAGGACTCATGAAGGAGAAGTTCATGGAGGACTCTCTCCCATGGGAGGAGCCCCATCGGGAAGCAGGGACAGACTGTAATGAATCCTTCTTCCTGAGGAGGATGGTGTGGCAAGAACCATTTGTCCTCCCCATCCCACAGTGTGTGTGTGTGTGTGTGTGGGGGGGGG